CTCCTGCTTTCTCAATTGTCCCTGGGGAGGCGTGGTGAACAACCCTAGTCGATCCCATTGACTGAATTGAATTTACCTGGCCTAGGTGGGTCAATCCAGGTGCAGCGCCCATGCAGGTGTACCTCCCCTTCCTGGCCGGAAACCTGAGCCTCTGAGCATGCGTAATGGAGGCCCCAGTCCCTAAGCTGAACTACCTAACGCGTACAACCAGAATGGATGGCGTGTCTTTGTCTCCTGTACTTTGGACGTGTTATTAGGTTAGACCAGTCCCTGGAAAAGGACAAAATGCTTGGTAAAGTAAAGGGGCAGAGGACAAGAAGGAAAACCTTGGATAAGATGGATTGATGCAGTGGCTGCCATGGCGGGCTCAAACATAAGAACAATGGTGGGGCTGGGGCTGGACCGGGCAGTGTTTTGTTCTGTTGTACACAGGATCTCTGAGTCGGAACAGACACCATTGCACCTAACAAGGACGTTACCAAGCATGATGTGCTTTTCCAGAGACTGGTCTTTCCTGATAATGCATGCAAAGTATATGAAATGATGTCTCGCCACCGTCACTTCTAAGGAGCATTCTGGCTGCACTTCTTCCCAGATGCACTTCTTTCAAGGACAGAATTGTTTGCTCTTCTGGCAGTCCACGGTTCTGTTCCCAAGAATAACAACAAGCAAGGATGTGGGAGTCTATTGTAGTGAAGGCCCTCTACGAAACTCCAGACTCTTCACTCACTGAAGGAAGGGACATTAGCAGAAAGAAAAGACACCAGGTGAAAGAGGAGGGAGAAAAACAAAACTCATAGAAGGTTTCACAAGCTCATACTGCCTTCTAATTGTAAACTGGTGCCAAAGGAAAGCTGTTCTCAGCACCATGTCCAGTAAACTTGCTGTGAAGGCCATGGTTTCAGCAAATTGAGTTTATGAAGGAAGTGAGCGAGACTGTGAGCCAACAACATACTCCTCAGAGCTGGTGTTCTGCCCCAGCTCTTCTTGAAATGCACACTGAATTGAGTGTTGATATGTAAACTGCCTTGTTGCATTTCAGGGGCTGGTGCAGGAAGGCACAGGAAGTGAATAATCATGCAACAAGACACATTTTAGTCATTAGGCAAAACCTTCATGTTCCCCCACCACCACCACAATGCACTTACATTTTTTTTTTGCTGTTTCTCAAAGGGAGGTAGACCCCGGCGTTCTTGGAACCTGGAGCTGTTAGCAATTTTGTCTTGCCTTTTTGGTTTTTCCTTTGAAAGAATGGCTGTCATTTCTCAAATTGGCAAAACCTTGCTTAAATTGAAACCTCATTTGGGAAGAATAACATTTAGCCGCAAGAAAAGACACCTGTGGTTTCTCGAGAGCCTTTTGGGTAATACCCAGTGATGGAAGCAAAGAATCGGCTTGTCTTTCTTCCACGGGAAAGGGTCCCTATGACTGAGTTGACACCCAGAGACATCTGGGTCACTTAGTCCACACCCCTTTGGGGGATTGTAGGGAGTCCTGGTGGCATAGTGGGTTACTTGTTGGCCTGCTGATCGCAGTCAGTAGTTCAAAAACGCCAGCCACTCTGAGGGAGTAACAATGGAGAAAGAAACACCAGGCTTTGTACTCCTAGTAAGCTACCGTCTCGGAGACCCGCAGGAGCAATCCAACTCTGTCCCGAAGGTTCGATATGAGAAAGAACCGACTCAATGGTATCAGTGAGTGAGTGAGTTGGAGGCTTGTCCCCAAACTCCTTGGGGAGGAAAGAAATCTTGAGTTAGGTTTTAATTCCCTCGGAACTCTTCAGCCTACCAGGGAGGTCTCCTAACTCTAAGGTGACCAGATTTAAAGCAGGACACCATTGGTGGGGGGGTGGGGGTTGTTCTTGATTAAAAATTTGGTCTATATAGACCAAATAGACCGTTCCCTAGCTTGTCGTTCATTCTTTCCAAAAATCAGGACTTTTACAAAACTTTTTTAAAATGCCAAAAATTGGGACGTCTGGTTACCTAACTCCCCTAACCTCTTTCCCCCCAAATGGGAATAATTGCAGCCACTGGGCATCCACAGACTTGGCCACCCCCTTTACACCACTGATGATGTCAGGAGACATCACAGAGTGGACCCTCATCTCTTGGCTTCAGCAATACACCCTGGAAGCCGAACTTAATCCTCCATACTCTCATAAATCCTGTCCACTCAGGGCATTCCAGAGGGCCCAGTGCCATACTACGTACATGCCATGTACAAAGGCATCAGATCACTGTGACCCACGAAAGTTTCATTGGTTGATTTTTGGGAAGTGGATCACGAGGCTTTTCTTCCGAGTCCATGTTAGCTGGAAGTTTTATTGAAAGCTGTTTGGCCTCAGCCCAACACACACACTTCCACTGACAGTTGGGTGGTGGCTGCACACCAGGTGTATTTTGGCTGGTAAGTGAGCCCGGATCTCTTATAAGGAAGATGAGAATGCTACTGCTGAATGGCCTACCTGGCCAATTAGTCAATTCTGAATCAGCAACACTCTAGGGCTGAAGAGACCTGCTCCTTATGGTTCCCAAGGACTGTGTGCTCATCTTGGCCACTGGTAACAGGCCAGGGATAGAGCCACTTTATAACCTACCACCAAGGAAGTTTCTGGAAGGCTAGAAAACAGTTTGTAAGTGGGTCTCAGCCTCCCTTTTGTTGTGAGAAGTCAACAGAATGAAGCATGAAATATTTTGTAAACTATCGTGAGCTAGGCTAAACTTTTCCTTTCATTGACATCTAGTCAATTCGACTCATAGTGGCCTACAGGACAGAGTATAACCACTCTTGTGGGTTTTCAAGGCTGTAAATCTTTATGGGATCCGAAAGCTTCTTTTTATCTTTGGGAGAGCAGCTGGTAGTTTTGAACTGCTGACCTTACAGTGAACCCACTGCACCACCAGGGCTCCTTCAATAGTAATTGAAAGGTCACTTGGCTTAAAGGGAAGGGTCCTTTTCTTGTTTCATTGTTGGAAGCTCTGGGCTTGGATGTTGGTTCACCTGGCTACCTGGGTGATCTTGAGCAAGTCTTCATCTTTCAGACTTTTTTTTTTGCAGGTGGGCAGGCAGGGGAAAATGCGTAGCAATGGGAATGAACATTGCCTTGCTTACCTCAAAGATTTAAATCATAACAAAAGAGAAACTGTGAGAACGTTCCTTGAAGACTGTAAATGGTTATCAGAAGGCACAGTTAAATATTTCTGCACTCTGCACAATCATGAGGTGCTTTGCATTAAAAAAAATAAGCCTATTCAAGTCCGATCCCCTGGTACCTGTGATTGTAACTTTATCTGTAGACTTAATCAGCGAAGGGGCGCTGGTTCAGAGCACAATTTGCAGAATAAAAGTGGAGAGCCCCAGCTGAAGGGATTTTCATTTACCACCTCAGCGCAAGGCCCTCCAAGAGGAAGGCTCGCCAGTGTGAAGTTTGCTGGCTTTGCAACTTCCTCATGTTTCAGCATTTTCGTTCATCTCCCAGACTGTTTCCCCATGGTGATTAACAGTTTAAATCCTCCACCTGGAAAGGTGGAAAAGCAGATAGTGAGCCCTTGGTCCAAGAACTCAAGATTCCTTCCATTGCTGGGGCTGTTGATGGGGCTGTGACATTTGAAAGTTCTTTGCATGGCTTAGAGCTCCTCCAAACCAGGCTGTTGTTAGATGCTGCTAAGTCGGTTCGGACTCCCAGTGACTCTTATGCACAACAGACCAAACCATTTCTTGCCACCCTCACAGTCCTTAGATTTGTGACCACTGTCGCCGCTACTGTGCCAGTCCATCTCCTTGACGGTCTTCCTCTTTTCTGCTGACCCTACACTTACCAAACATGCTACCCATTCCCATGGAGGGGCCTCTTCTGATAACATGTCCAAAGTACGTGAGACAAAATCTCGTCACCCTCTAGGTCTACTTTTCCAGCTTGCTTTCCAACCCTAAGTTTAGGGCTGTAAGCGTTTGCACTTAGGTAAACATTTGCTTGACGTTCTTGCTACTTGGAATATTCTTCCACACCACCTTTACCTGATGCCCAAAGCTTAATGGGAATGTTTATAACCTCTCAAGTCTTATCTGACACCCCTCTCACCTGTGTGCTTTTGACACTGCTTATACCTATGCTAGTTGCTAAGTTTTTTCCTCTCTAGATTCGTTGTCATTGTTTGCTGCTCCCAAGCAGGGATAGTATATTATCATCATCTTATCCTCAATACTGAAGACCGTGCAGGACATGGACTAGTTGCTTACAAGGTTCTCTAATCTTTTAAGAGGTAGCTTGGTTGTCAATCTGGAATAAGCACGCTCTTAGCAGGAGAAACCTAAGCCGGAAGCTTCGCAGGAGAGAAAAGGGGCTTTCTGCTCACCTAAAGGGTTAGTCTTGGAAACCACAAAGGCGGTTCTAGCCTGTCCGATAGTATTACTATGAGTCAGCATCGACTCGATAGCAGTGAGTTTGGATGTTTTTTGGAATACGCGAAGGAGCAAGTTGAGAGATCTTGTTCATGGTGGAATCAGGGTGAGAGAATGTGAGCTCGAAATGTTGAGACTTAGGGGAAGAGAGGGATCCACGTAGTTGAAAGGTGACCGGATGTGTAATCCCCAAGCAAGAAGATGTAAATCAGGGTCAGGGCAAAGGACCGTGAGCACTGCATGCTGGGATGACTGCTGCACTGCATGCCGGGACTTGTAGTCCCATTTTGTCTCGAGCATTAAACTAGCTCCCTGAGGCTACACTCAGCCACGTCCTACCGCAGGTAAAGTGCAGTGTTTGGTCATCCAGCACAAAACGACAAGATTCTCCAAGGTAAGTGCTCTTCAGAGCTAACCTCATTTTACCGTGAGATACCAGAAAAAGGTATTGAGGGCAGCAGCGCATGCGCAAGCTTGTGCCTCTGCAAGCGCGCGCAGCGGCCCCGGTCCCGACAGAGGCGTCGTAGTGCGCGTGCGCGCGCGCCTCCGCGAGGCGCTGGAACCGGGTGGCGCAGGCGCAGTGTCCCCGGGCCAAGATGGCGGCGCGGTGCTCCTCACGCTGGCTGCTGGTGGCAGTGGGGACCCCGCGGCTGCCGGCTGCAGCGGGGAGAGGGGCCCAGCCGCCCAGGGAGGGTATAGTCGGGGCGTGCCTGGGTCGCAAGCTGAGCGTCACCGCCTTTGCGCCTCCGCTGGGAGCTCGAGGCCCGGGGGCGCTGCTGACATTGAGACCCGGTGTCAGCCTCACAGGTGAGGGTAGGCGCCAGCGCCGAGAGGGGTGCTAGGGCCTGAAAGGGGGAGACTCGCCTCGCCTCGTTCTGCCTACGCGGGGAACGGGGTGGAAGGGTAACTTTCGATTGGGGTGTAGATTTGCTGAGGAGACTGGCAAACCGGCGCCAGTGAGGCCCATGTGGTCGCTTGGCAGCCAAGGCAGGGAGAGCAGCCTGGGGCCCCTGCCCGGGGCAGCGGAAACGCCCTCGAGGCCGTGACCCTTTCCCTCTCTGTCAACATTTCTGGAAGCGCTTCTGGGCCTGCCGCTGCTCCCCTCCCTCCCCACCCCACCTCTTCACCTTCCAGCCTGTGGCGGGGACAGAGCACCTGCTGCTGGGCTGATGGTCTAGACAACCCGAGCAAGATCAGACCAGCACCCCTATTTTACGGAACGGGAAACTGAGGTTCTTGTAGAGGAAGTGACCTGTTCAAGGTCACAAGTTGGATAAGAGGACTTGCCCAGAGCTGTAATTTAATTGAAAAAGTCTTCCCCACTGCAGCTCGGGGTTGTCAACCAAATGGCACGCTTCACACACCTTTTTGGAATTCCTTAAATTGGCCATGGTGGCACTAACCCAAAATACCTGCTGCTGTCCCGTGGATTCTCACAATCTGGCATTCCTTGAGCACTGCCTGTATACCAGGCATGGATTATTTCCAAGTGGTCCAACCAAACACACTACCATGAAGTCGATTTTAAATCGTGACCCTACAGGAGAGAGTAGAACTGCCCCTTTGGGTTTCTAAGGCTGTACATTTTATGGGAGCAGAAAGTCTTGTCTTTCTCCCTCAGAATGGCTGGTGGGTCTCTGACCAGTGTGTAACCCACTACACCACCAGGGCACCTTTCCATGTGATGGGTGCCGTTTTTATTCCATATGGTAGATTTAAGAAGCTGAGGCCTAGAGACATTCAGCAATTTGTAGAAGTTCATGAAGTTGAGAAGTGGTGAAGCCTCGCTGTGCAATGTGCTGCTGCTTCCTTGATGGATGTGTTAGTTAATCTGCATCATGTCTTTCACTGAGTGGCAGGTGTGGAGAACCTTTTTTTCTGTCAAGGACCATTGGACATTTATAACATCACTTTCAGGCCATGCTGGTCAAACATTTAATTAACTCACCCTTAATGTGATGGCTGTAACAATCTCTCTTTGGTAAGACATGTGCTGTTAGCTGGTTCATGGGCCTTCTGTGGCTTGTGGGCCTGACAATCCCTACCCCTGTTGTATGACTATGCTATGTTGGGTTTTAGTGACTTCTGACTTACGAAGAAGGTATGAAACCTCAAATCACCTCCTGTGAGCTTCAGTTGTGCTAGTTGTTGACGTATTGCTTGGTGTGCCTTAGAAATTCTGGGAAAGACTCGGAAGCTACTTAGAAATATAAAAAGGGGGCCCTGGTGGCATTATGGTTAAGCATTCTGCTACTAACAGAAAGGCTGGTGGTTGGAACCACCCAGTGACTGCAGGTGCAAAGACACGGTGAGCTGCTCTTGTAAGCTGATGGCCTAGGAAACCCTGTGGGGCAGCAGTTCTCTCACGTGGGCTGCTGTGAGTCCGAATAGTCTCAAGGGCACCTACCATCAACTCGACGTCAACTCAAAAAGATGATCAATGAAAGGCTTTGATAAAGGTAATTTATACGAAGTAGACTTCTTGTTAAGTGGTTCAGCCCTCAGCTGCTAACTGAAAGGCCAGCAGTTCAAAGTGACCACTACTACCATGGGAGAAAGGGCCTGGCACACTGCTTCTGCAAGGATTGCAGCCTGGGAAACCTCATGGGACACTTCTGCTCTGTCACGTAGGGTTGCTGTGCATTGGAATCGGTTCCACTCCACTCCAAGAACCAGCTTGATGGCACACAGCAACAATGTTCCTATTAGGAAGCTAACGTTGAGGTGTCAGTAATCATGATTAATTTTGTAGTGTACAGAAAAGAGCCTGGGCTTGGGGGCGAACAGACCAGCTTCCATCAGTGGAGCTAGGTGAATTATTCAACTCTGTTGAGCCTCTGTTTCCTTAACCATAAAAATGTCTTCCTTTCCTCACACATTTATGGAGGGCCACCACATGGTCCAGGCATTAGGGATGGGTACAGCCGGAACAACGAGTCAGATGTGGGTTTGTTCAGTGAATCCCTTTTTAAGATCGTCTTGCTGCCACCCATATTTTCCCTTGTCTCTGGCAGTAACCTGCTCCCTTGTTTATCCAGCTTTCCTCAAGATTGTTTTGAGAGGTGTCAGCTGATCTTTTTTCATGTCAAGGTGCAAGGCAGGAGCAATTCCTTTCAATAAGTAGTTGACTGTTTCTCTTTGTTCAAATCTGCATTCCTTCAGGAGCTTGCAACTCTTAATACATAATTTGTTCATATTATGTCTGGAAAGCTTCAGGTACCATAAGAGGAACATCAGATCCTTGTTCTCAAAAGGATAGCAGCTCTCTTTTTCCCCAGCGGACCCCATAGCCCTGTGTTGGGTGTTATATGCCACAGGTGATGAATGCATGTGACAGGTGACATCCTTCAGAGGGACTCTTGTCTCTTAGGCACACCTAAAGCCATCAACTTGGTTTCAAATGTTCATATGGGACCTCACATGTAGTTGTACAGTTAGGAAAGATAAGTCCCTGCAGTGTTCCTAAGGATCCCATAGGATGAAATAGAACTGCTCCATAGGGTTTGTGAGATTGTAAATCTTTTTTTTTTTAAATCATTTTATTGGGGGCTCATACAGCTCTTATCACAATACATACATGCATCTATCGTGTCAAGCACATTTGTACATTTGTTGCCATCATCATTTTCTTTTTTTAAATTTATTTTATTGGGGACTCATACAATTCTTATCACAATCCATACATACATCCATTATGTCAAGCACATATGTACATTTGTTGCCCTCATCATTCTCAAAACATATGTCTTCTATGTTAATATCGGCTGCTCGTTTTTTCCCCCTTCCTCCCCCGCCCCCTCCCTCATGA